ACCAGGATGTCTAACCTAGTCCTCACGTCTTTCCTTGCTACTTCTCCCTTCTCCTACCTTCCAAACGATTGCAGTATAGAAAGAAAAATAGTGGCAGACTACATGCAACATGGTCCAGTCCAGCACTCAGCCTTGCTCCTGCCTTCCACACAATACACAAGATTTATGATTTCATTTCAATGATCCTTGCTCAATTCTGCATCATTCACACCTCACTCAAAAATGGCTTGTTTCAACTGAGTTTAAATCTCTTGCTAAATCCAGGTTTCCCTGATTTACTGGCACATTGTATCTGTTGCAATTAAGAGAATCAAGTACACTGGACATCCATTTGCTTCTGCACAGTGTCTCCTATCTAAGCGATGTCTCCCTGGAGATAAACACATGCTCAGTGTGTCTGAAAAAATACAGGAGAACAGTTATTTCCACAGCTGTTTTCTTAAGAAACTGCTTTACTGCTGTGTTCTAATTAGTAAATGCATCCTAATAAATATGTTCATCTGAGCACAGTTTTGGATCTAATTGATGTTTCAAGACCCTGGGCCTGACAAGTTGCCAAATGGATTTGAACACAGAACAGAATCTTTTGCTAACGAGGACCCGGGCAGGGGGAATTCCGGGTGCGTTGGAGGAGGCCTCTGGCCACGCTGGTAGCAGGGGTCAGCGCCGCGCAACAGGGCTGGCCCCGGGCCCCGCTCCGGCCCTAGGCAGCACGGTTGGCTCTGTTGCAGTTCAGCGGCCACGAGCAGCGCTGCAGCCTCACGTATCCAACCTGCTCAAACGAGGGTAACTGCCCACAGCGAGCGCTGCCTCGGCCAGGGGCTCAGCTGCTGCCGCCCCCGTGTCCCCCCGCTCCCGGAGCCGGGAAGCGCCGTTCCCAGCGCTCCGCGACGAGCACCGCGCCGCTGTGAGCAGCGCCCCGAGCAGCGCGTTCCAGCACCGCGGACACAGCGTTCTAACAACAAAGCATCTGACATGCTGATAAACCAGTACCACACATCGGCTACAATATGAACAGATTTTTGAGATCAATATGGTGATTTTCTCTATAAAATATGGCACTGTCATTCAAACTCAGAATTTATTTACATTTTTGAGTACTGGTACGTTTTTTGAACTGGTACGTTCACAAGGCTCACTTTGAGCAAACCATTTTTCTAAAGCAGCAGTTAATTATCTAAAATCACAGAGCCAGAGACAGACTAAGGGTAAGTTTATTCAAAGCTTAGTGTTTCCTACCAGCAAAGAAACGTCCAATCGCTTCAGAACATGATGATCTAGCTTCAAAAAGCCTTAGTGATTCAAAGATCACAGGAAAGCTCTTTGGTGTCACACACAACCACAGCCTGCAGCTCTGCCTCGCAGCGATGCACAAAGCCGCACACCATTAATGCAGCAACAGAGCAGCGCTCTTAGGAGAGCGGTACGTGTTGAAATACATATGCACAGGAAAGACACACTTACAGGAAGAGGGCCCAAATCATTAGGATTCAAAGAAGCTTTTGATCTCAAATGCACTGGAAATTTCAGCCGTGGATCCTCCTGAAAAAGAAATCCATGAGGTTAAGTCAAAACTACACATGGAGTCTATTGCAGTATTAGCTGGAAAAGATACCTGCCTACATTAGGACTGTTCTGAAAGGTTTTTTTGGAGAATAAAATACAAAATCAAATCTCATAGAGACTACAGAGCATTTAGTGTGCGGAGGTGATCTATCAAGAAAACAAATTAAAACTGTCTGCATCGCTAAAAAAGAAGCACCATTGACCCAGGCTGCTCCAAGCATCAAGTGTCCTGAGCACTACCCTGACTCTTCTGCAGCTCTTGTGACCTGGTACCAAACTGGCAGCACCTGACACCAGGAACTCCAGGAACAGCCCAATATTTGGGAGATGCAGTTACAGGACGAATTCTGGTGGATAGAATTCTTCATTTTAAGAGTACATAAGCAATAAGTAAGCAAAATTAAAAGATTTACCTAACTAAACTAAATTAAGCTCTAGGCTGGAATTCCCAGCTCACAATTATTCCTCATCTTTCAGCAGCCAATACGCTGCAATTATTCCAAAATGCAACCATCCAGCAAGAGTAAGCAAGACCAGACATTTGACTAGAAAAATCTTTTTTTACGCGGATACAGAAGCAAGACAATATTGAGCCTGCTTCTGGGTTTCCTTTGACATTTTTTTCCTTGGTTTAATTTTTCCTTCAATTTGTTTGTTGGAAATTATTATACTGAAAGATAAAGCCCTGTAACAAACACAAATAGAAGGGGGTCCTGATAACTGAAGAGGATGAACATGTATTACGTTAATAAAAAAGGAGAGCTAGTCACACGAAAGAGAATTACAGTCAAGCTGAATAGGAAACCTCCATCTCTCTGTGCGCCTCTGAACCCTGGGTTGGGGAATTTCAAAGATCATACTTGCATGCAAGGGTTTATCGGGTTTAAATGTCAGGCCAGCGGCATGGGCCGCATGGCTCCGGCAGCGAGGCCCCGCGGCGCGCTCACCCAGGTGGTCGTCTTCGTGTTGTGGTCGATGAAGAAGGGGCGGCCGTTGGGCGCGATGCGCATCTCCCAGCCCGGCGGCAGGAAGCTCTGCGCCACCTTGTGCTGCGGCTTGGGCGAGTTGTAGGGCGAGGGCTGGGGGGACTGCGGGTTGGAGAGCGTGTCCTTCACGGCCCGGCGCACCGGCGAGTCCTTCATGCCCTGCGGAGACGCGAGCGTCATGGCGGCCGCGCGCCTCGGCCCGGCCCAGAGCGCCTCAGCCTGGCCCGGCCCCGTTCAACCCGAGCACGGCACGGCCTGCGGCAGGACAGGCGCTCCCCGAACGCGAGCCGGCACCACGCGCTTCTCAGCTGCAACGCCAGGCCAGACATTTGCACAGGGCCTTAGAAAAAGCTCCTAAAATAAATTCATTTAGGCTCCCTATATCAGTTTGCAATTGAAAATCTTGCACCTTTTTAAATTAATGACTTCCTTACTTGCTGCTGCCTTGTAACAGTGGGAGGTTTCATCTTGGCTTGTACATTCGGGCCTCTCGACAGCCTCAAAATGTGATCCTGATTTACTCATCTGGGAAAACACTGCCTATCACCACCAAACTGAAAATGAGATCTAAATATTCAGTTTTAACATTGTTTGCCTTTGAACGCCTTAGAAATTTTCCAGAAATACACGTTGGCTGATACATGATAATTGCTTGTTTTCCACTTGTTTTGCTAGTCATTAAGACTCACTAAATCTATGCATGCTTATTTAGGCCATTCTCTAATTTAACATTTATTCACTGTATTGCTTTTTTCCAACCCTATTATATTAGAAAATTAAGAGTAAACTAAGATATTTGCAAAACTATTACAGTCTTATTTGTGGAGTACTCTGCAGTATTTGGATGGAAAAAGCAGCTAAATTATAGCATACAAAAGTACTATTTAAATTTGTTCTCATTAAATAAAAGCTTTCCATATGTGTTGCACACACAAAAAAGTTATAGACACGTTTTATAATAAAAGAACAAACTATATAAAAACAAAGAAAGTTCAGCTAAAAAGCTGAACTGGTTTTTTTTTCCCTTGTGATTGTAACCCTGAAGATTCTAATACTGGTAAGTCTACACCTTAGTTAAATACACAGATAAATAAATAAAAATAAGAAAACAGCTTTGTGCTTTCCAGCAGCCTTGTGGTTTCCAGGCACTGAGCGGAGCCACCAGCCCCGGCGGGACGAGCGGAACGTGCAGGGGCAGCAACAGCTCCCCCGGAGCGGCAGGAAAGGCCATTGCCATGAACACGGGCTGGGTGCTCGGCCAGCGACCCCAAGGGTCCCACCTTACAGATTCCCTTAGGGAAGGAAGGGCTTCAGCTTGAGAGAGTCAGAATTTGTAATTTTCATATATTAAATTACTGTATATATCGCCTTGAAAATTAAGTAGTTCATTTTTTAGTATAACAACTACAATCATTCTACCTAAAGTAGAAATAAAAGACCCAATAACCCTACTTTTAATTTTAGTGATTTTTGGTTTAACGATTTGTTGGGTGACTGGCACAGGATCTTTCAGTATAAGGAAGAAAGAGGAATGTTGCATAAAATAAAATGAACTACGCACTGCAGTCTTCACACCGCTGCATACAGCCGCGGCAGGGAAAGGAGAGGAGCAGCAAGGAGCATGTGAAGGGAAGGGTGGAGATGGCACCAGAGTCTCTGAAGCTTTTAACAACTCCTTCTCCTCCTCACAGCCGTGTTTAACCACTTTAAAAGGTCTAACCATAGCTTCAGAAGTAAATCACAGTCTCTGATTGCATAAGAAGCTGCTACTCTTCAGCCATGTTGCAGAGAACAGCATTCAACACTGTTCTCAATTATCTTTAAGGATACTTAAAACAAGCCCTTTTGAAAGACAAGCGTAATATCAGCACAAAATCTCATTCCAGGATTTTCCAACATCAATCACACGTACGATTAACAAAGAAGCCAGCGTCAAAAGAAATGTTTCAACTTGAAAAATATTTCTGATATTATAAATTTGAGGACCCAGAAGGGATCAGAACAATGTATGTATTTCAAATGGTAAAATAAGTGTTAGCTAATTAAGCCAAATTATCATATGTAAGCAAGACTTTCTCAGTCAGTGTCATAGAAGTTACTACGGTGCAACATGAAGATGCACATGGAAAATCGCTAAGGAAAACTGTGATAACCAGGGCAAAGTGAGGAGGTGGGAGGGAGCGGGGAACCGAGGCAGTTCCGAAGCCGGCGCTCTCACCTCGAGCGGCGCCGACAGGGTCACGGTGGGCGAGCTGAGGCTGCGCGGCCGGCGGATCTGCGGTTCGCTCAGGTGGTTGGTGCTGCCGGCGGCCGAGGCGGCCGAGCCGTCCTCCGCGAGCTGCCTCGGGACAAAAACGTGTTAGCCCTGTGCCAGCACCGCCCTCGGCGGCGCCACGACGCCCCAGAAACGACCTCGGCACTTTGGCTATCTATTTATCGTTATTATCTGAAGGAAACATTAAATCTAGTACTTGAAAGATCAGATCTATTATTTCATTTTAATCCCAAGCATCAACAGAACTTTCAAATTCAATCCTAAAATACTATTTGCCTCTCTGTATATTCCCTCCTTTGCGGTGATAAACTCAACCTGCATCTTCACACAGTGAACACAGTGAACAGAACCTCCTGGCGTGACAGGAGGTTTTAGAGCTTTTCCAGTTTGAGAGTCCCGCGCTCAGCGCGCGCCGGCCGCCCACACGAAGGGCTGCGAGGCCTTCGCACCTGCATGATGGGCCGCGTCCACGTCGTGGTGCGGTTGTTGTGGTTCACGTAGTAGGTCCGTCCCTTCGCGTCCTTCCTCTCCTCCCAGCCCGAGGGCAGGCCCGGCGTGGTGTGCACGTAGGCCACGGACGGCTGCTCGGGCAAGCAATTACCACAGCGTTACTTTATGATTGCTTAGGAAATAAAGGCCTTCTTAAGAACATATACATATAAACCATTCTTAGATATAATATGTTGAAACACATAGCTACGGATTTTCATTTGATACAAGAAAGCTTTTTATTCATCTCCGAGTCAAAGCTTCTTTTCTGCCAACTGACCCTTCAGTTCCATTTGCACCCTCAGGCCCCTGCTAAGCTCCTATGTCCCCAGCTCCTCGGCTTGCGTACTACAGATCATGACAGAAAGCAATCTTATGTCGCAACGTTTTCCCTGGAAAAGGCCTGGTGTTTTTCCCGTGGCGTTGCAGGGCTGGGAGTTCCCAAGAGCACGTGTCTGGTCAGGATCCCGCAAGCCCTGACCCTGTCCCTGCAGCTTCAGCTGGATGCAGAGTCAGCCGCGTTTTGATGGTCACCAACAGTACGTTCATGGGCAGCACACGTTAAATCTGAGTCCACGTTTTTAAGTGAAAATAGGCAATTGCTATTAAAAAGCTGCTGAACAAATACACTGTCCTAATGAACATTCACTGATAACGAGGGGAGCGGACTGATGGCCATCACCTAACGCAGTAATTGCAGTGCAGGAGACGGTCCTGCAGGCCCTTCCTGCTGGGAAAGATTTCAGCTTAAACCAACTGGTGCTGTTTGTTTCTGGGACACACAAAGGAAAAAAGAAATAGTGCAAAATGAACAGCACAGCTGCTGGGGGTAAAGAGCAGGAGAGGGGTATTAATCCTGAGCCCAGCTGCTTCTCAACATGCACTGTAGCTCTTCACGTGCTTGTTGCCAGTCTACCTAAACTCTGGGTTTGTTTAATTCACTGTCTTGAATACGAGGAAATCTTAAATTTTCTTATTTCAGAAGCCTGGGAGGCGAGATGGTCGTCCTTGCCCCTCTATCACAAGCCAACTATGGGGTGAACGGGAGCCGCTCCTCCTTCCCGTTGCGATGTGGGAGGGAGGGGAACAGACTGAACCAAGGGCCGTGCAAACCTGCAAGGCAGGCAGCTTCATTCCCAACTGTGCGGCCTTAAAATACAACCAGAGTCTGCAGCTACCTGGAGGAAAAGCAACACCGTGAATTTCACTGGAGCTGGAGAGCACCCAGGGCCCGCAGAGCATCCGTAAGGACGCGAGAGCAGGAGCAGCAGCAGGAGCCTTCGCCTCCCGCAGCACGTGGGGTGCCCGAGGCCAAACCCCGGCTCCGTGTCTGTCCCGGCTGGGCACAAGGGCAGGATGAGCGGGGGATCCGGTTTTTAAAACGCGCACTCGTTAACCACGTGGTCATTACACTGGGCTGCTTCCCCGCGGGGGCCCTTTTCCTCGAGGCATCGCTCGGCGCCCAGGCTCAAACCCGGGGCCGCGGCCGTCGCTCCCTTCGCGGGACGGGTGCCCTCCTCCCCGACCAGCCAGCCTATCAGCTACAGCTTCAAGCTTGACAGGCACATGCTTTTCACCACCTGCATCTGAAATGCTGCTCCAAAATATATTTGGTTTAATTATTAGATTGATCACATTAAAATATATACTCATATTTTACATATCAGGAGTCTAAAATGCCAGCAGTTGTGGTTTATCCTTTCAGCATCCCGGCTGCAGCGGCACGAGCGGCATCGAGCCCAGCTGTCCTTGCCACAGGACAGAGGACCAGAAGCTGCTCAAACTCCTGAACTTTTGTGCAGGACTCGCTTCATCATTAACAACACCAACCAGTTTAGAAGTAGGTGACTTTGTAGCGCTAAAAAAAATGAAGGAAATGGCCCTCATAAAGGTGATTTTACCATCAATCCTGATATTTTCATTAGCAGTGTAAAATAATTCCCAGGAAGATTTGAAGACAAGCACACGCACTGTGAGAAAGAAATAGTGTCTCATCCTTCTTGTCCTGGCTTTACGTCCAGCGAGCTGGGCAGATTGGTGGGGACCTAACCTCTTTCCTAGGGTGTCCCCCGAAGCCTTGAGACCCACGTTAAAGCAGTCCAGGGATGGCACCAAGGACACGGAGCAAGTTCCCAGCAAGGCCCGTGGGAACGGACTGCACGGAACGCCTGGGAGAGCAGCACTGAGTGCAGGGCCCCTTTCAGCACACACAAAAGGCAAAGAAGGAGTCGAGGACAAAGACCCGGAACAGGTTAGAATGAAGAACGCGGAGAATCTGAATGAAGGCAGTGAGAACACTGCGCCTTCCTGCAAAGGGGACAGCGGACCGCGAGGCGGGTGGTGCTCACGAGCCGCGGATGAGGGTGCTGGAAGGTGACTTCTTGGCACCACCTCTCACTAAAACCAAGGGAAGAACCAGCCTGGGAAGCACCGAACTCCTCGCGCTGCTGAGAAACCGATTCTCAGGGTTAACACAAGCTTTTGGTTTTAGACTTTGTCTTTCTGACAAAGAAATAACTGTGATGACGACCATACTCCTAAGGGAAAAAAGCTAAGCATTTTTAATGTAAAAACTTCTGCTTCTTGTAATTAATTTAAAAATCCAACACCCTGAAAAAAGTGGTAATTCATACTTTTATCATACTACTGCCTTTTCCTCTTCCTTGATCTTTCAAAGAGATAGTAGCATTGGTCGATATCCCATATCCTGGGAATTCAGGATATGTTTTCCTCTTGTCCTAATCTGTCACGGTTATCTCTAATGCATGATACTTAAATATATATATAGTGTGTTGGATAGCTTAATACAACAGTTATTTCTATTTCATGGCTGTGTACTTACAATATTTATTTTTAACATGAAGTATTCTCTATCAAATTATGTGTGTATACTCCTTAAGAAATATCTACCAAAAGTGGTGAACTAGAAAATGTTTCTCCAAGTTTAATTAGCAAGATGTATCATTCAGACAGTTTGACGCACTAGAACCCAGAAAGTTTTATTGCCACAAAGCAGTAAAAGATACTCAAAAGAATTGAAATTAAAATCATCTGAGAAATAGCACAAGTAGATTATTAACTACATCGTGTTTGTATTCATTTGAAGGAAAATGCTAGATTAGATTAATATACTGCAATTCCTGTCTGTGCTTCACATTTCTAAGACCTCTTGCAGACTCCTGTCCTGCTGAAGTCAGCATATTTGTTTTTTTAATGGAATTGCACAGGCAACACAGTGAGCTGGAACACTGCCTAGCTAATCAGGAGCGGAAATGGGAAAAGACCAGGAACGGGCCAGTTCATGGGTATCAGCGACACCGCTCGTCAGCAGGGCTGATGAAGCGGGTAAGTTACAGCCGGCGGAGGGGCCCACGGACACGCTGCCCTCCTGGAGGGCTCTGCGGCCTCCCGCTCCTCGGGGCTGGCCGCAGAACCCAGCGAACCCAGCACGAGCAGGATCCCGGGGGTTTCCAAGCCCCGGCTGCCGCCTGGACCCAGTCCCCAGGCTGTGTGTGCGTTCACATTAGCTAATCAACAGAGTGAGAGCGGGCGGACAGCGACTCCCAGGCGTGCTGGACCCCAGCCTGCCCGCTGCAGCCTCCAGCTCCGCGCGCAGGGGCTGTCAATGCTGTCCGCAGCACAGAGCGCACAAAAGCCGCGGGCAATTCAGGCATTTGCAATTAAAAACCCTAATCATTTGGTGCTAATGCCACACACTATTCATAGCATGGTGTAACGATCAGCCTCGCTTGGCAGGTGCCATGAGGACAGGGAAACGCAACAAAAAAGCACCAAAAAAGCCCTGCCCAAGCACACGCAGCCGCCGTCGCCCTTGTGCCGGGCGC